ATAATATAACAATCAATAATATAATAATAATAATAATATAAGAATAATAATAATAATAAAAATAATACTAATAATGAATAATAATAATTAAATGATATATAATAATTAATATATAATAATATATAATAATAATAATAATATATAATAATGATATAATATATATAATATCTATAATGATATAATAATAATATGATGATTGATGGTGAATGATAATGATGAGGACGATGATGATAATATTGATATGCAAAGGATAATAATGACAATAGTAAACATTTAATAATAATATGACAATAGTAATAATAAAATATCTAATGACAATAGTAATAACAATAATAATAATAATGAAATAAGATGATATTATGGATATAATATAATGAAATAAAGATAATAATTAATGATAATGATAATAATGAAGTAAAGATGATAATTAGATGATAATAATATGAAAGAAAATAATACCATAATATATTACTATTATTTTTATCATTCTTGTAATAATCACAACACAATTAATGATAATATTATATAGAAAATGTGAATAATGTGATAATGAATGTTAATATTATAATGCGAGTTTATGACTATAATGAAGGAGGAGGAAATGATAATGGAAATGATAATGATAATGATATGAGAACCTAACAGTAAAATCATAATGTAATAGAATTTAAGAATGTGAATAAAATAATAGGATGAAATTAAAAATGATAGTATAGAAGTAGTAGTTTATGATTATAAATGATTAATGTAATAATGTAAAAAAAAGTAATGAAAATAATACTGAAGATACAAAATAATAATGATAATAACAGTAAATGGCAATGATATTTGATAATAGTATTGTAATGATGATGAAATACTACTGCTACTACAACTGTAACTTGTACTACGTCTCTAATACTATATGATTATGATGATGATCATAATAAAAACAATAATGACAATAAATAATATAATAATACTAATAATAATACTAATAATAATAATAAAAAAACAAAAATCTAAAATATTAGGATAATTATCAATTATAATATTAGAATTACTAATAATAAGGATAATGTTATAATAAAAATGATATATAATCATTTTAGAAATACATTAATAATGAAAAAAAAATAACGCAAGGGTATAGAACGGACTTCTTTTTTTCACAATTAAACGAGGCGACCAGTAGACAGTCCTTAGCATCCTGAGGAGAGACGGTCCTCCCCGTCCGCCAGCTGAATCTCTCGCCCGTCAGAGACCTACTACAACGTCTGATACGCCTTCTCTCATCCGTTTGCTGTTCCTGGCAATCGCTACTGTTTTTTGCACGCTACGCTCAACTCAGAGATCATCCACTGTGTGTGAGTGTGGGTGTGTTTGTGTGTGTGTGTGTGTGGTGTGTGTGTTGTGTTGTGTGTGTGTGTGTGTGTGTGTGGTGTGTGTGTGTGTGTGTGTGCAATGGGAAGCTTTTATTACCTAATGCTATCCATTGTATGTATATCGAAGGGACTTGCAATGTGTGGCCATCCTGTCCATAGTGCGTTCGTTAGTCCACAGTCTCTAGCATCTCTCTCTGTCTGCCTTCTGTCTGTCTTCTCTTTTTTCCCCTCTCTCTTTTTTTTTCTCTCTCTCTCTTTCTCTCTTTTGTTAATGTCCCTATCTATGTCTGTCTCTGTCTGTCTGTCCTCTTTCTGTCTGTCTGTCTGTCTGCCTTCTTCTTCTCTCTCTCTCGCCCCCCCCCCTCTCTCTCTCTCTCTCTCTCTCTCTCTTCTTCTCTTTGTCATGTCTCTATCTCTTCTGTCTCTGTCTACTGTCTGTCTTTCTCTTCTGTCTGTCTGTTCGCTCTCTCTCTCTCTCGCGTTCGCCCCCCCCTCTCTCTCTTTGCCCCCCCTCTCTCTCTCTCTCTCTTTGCCCCCCCCCCCCCTCTCTCGCTCTTCTCTCTTTCTCTTCTCGTCTCTTTCTCTTCTCTCTCTTTCTCCTCTCTCTCTTTCTCTTCTCTCTCTTTCTCTCTCGTCTCTCTCTTCTTGCGTCTTTCCTCTCTGCTCTCTTTCTCATCTTTTGCCAATGTCTCTTTCTCTGGCTGTCGCTGTCTCTTTCTGTCTGCCTTCTGCCTGTCTTCTGTCTCTTTCTGTCCTGTCTGTCTGTCTTGGTTTCTCTCTCTCTCGCGCTCCTCTCTCTCCTCTGTCCCCCCCCCCCTCTCTCCTCCCTCTCTCTCTCTCTCTTTCTCTCTCTCCTCTCTCCTCTCGTCTCTCTCTCTCTCTCTCTTGTCAATGGTATCTATCTTCTGTCTGTCTCTTCTGCCTCGCTATCTGTCTGCTGTCTTCTCGTTCTCTCTCTTTCTCTCTCTCTCTCTTACTCTCGTCTCAGTCTACTCTCTCTCTCTTCTCTCTCTCTCGCTCTCTCTCTCTCTCTTCTCTCCCTCTCCTCTCTCTCTCTCTCTCTCTCTTCTTCTTCTCTCTCTCCTCTCTCTCTCTTCTCTCTCTCTCTCTCTCTCTTTCTCTCTCTTCGCCCCCCTCTCTCACTCAATTGCTTGCATCACACAGCTTATTAGCTAATTTGATATCCGCTAAAAGGAACAGAAAGAGGATTAGTTTTCCTGCAGGATCATGCGTCGATGTGCACAATTCGTTAAACAATGGCTATATTGTCATAGTGATAATATCTACATGGCATAACGAATTTCTATGAAAACGTTTGGCATTTGAAATATCACTTATATCACTGGCAGTAATAATTGATGTATTGTAGTAACAACTATAAATATATCTTTCAAACTTTTAATTTCTCTCTCTCTCTCTCTCCATCTCTCTCTCTCTCTCTCTCTCCTCTCTCTCTCTCTCTCTCATCTCTTTCTCTTTCTCTCTGCTCTCTCCCTCACCCCCCCCTCTCTCCTCTCTCTGTTTTTAAACGAGGCTTAATTCTGGCCTTCACGACCGACAACGTACAAGTCCTCCGTTCTTTACTGTATACTATGACTACAACCTGCTTACATTACATTCCTCCTTAACTATTTTCCTCTTCCTCTTGCTTTCCCTGTACTCTGTATCGTTTTCTTTCCTTTTCTTATCACCCGTTCCAACGTCGCCTTCTCATTTCGCTCCTCTTTCCCTGGTCTTTTCCTAGCTCTCCGTTTCCTCTTCCTGGTGCCTGCCCTCCCTGATTTCACTATCATCGGGCCCATAGACTTCCCCCGCGATATCGTTCCCCTCCTTGGTATCCTTCTCCTACTTTCTCTCTCTCCTACCTTCCCTCCTTCTTATCTCCTTTCCCCCCTTCCCCCTTTTCTTACCTCCTTCATTCACTCTCCCTCTCCCTCTTAACTCCTCCCACTCCCTTTCCCTCTCCTTTCCCCGCTCCTCACCCGTATGCCCAATCCTTTTCGTCGCCCATCCCCATCATTTCGTCCATCTGTCAATCTCTATTCCCCTCCGGTCCTCTATTCCTCCAGGCCTCCCACCCTTTCCTCTCTCGACCTATGTTTATTACCTATCTACTTTTAAGTCCCTTCCCCACCTTTGAGTCCTTCCCCATACACATCCTGGAATCTTCATCATCCTATCCTCTTGCATGAACGGAGATCTCTTCTTCCCAGTGTCCCTATAGTACTCCTCCCCCGTATTTTCCGTTTATCTCTCCGGAAGGCCCTCTTTCCAAATCTTTTTAGTTCATTTGTCCTCCAATTCTCTTCCACACCAGTTCCCTCTCCCAGTCTTTTAGCTTCTCCGCCACGCACATCCCCGGAAATCTTGAGTCTCTATTCATCAGCCATTTCCTACCACCCGCCCTTCACACACATACATTCATCCACAGAAATCAAGCTCATCGACTCATATCCATAGACCCCCTATCGTTCATCAGCTAGGACAAATCCCCCTAAATTTTCTCTCTGCAGAATTTTTTCCTGCATCCCGTCAATTTCCCTATACTCCGCTCACCCTCCGGGTGTCTGGTTTCTTTGAAATCGCACTTAAGAAGTTTACAAGTTTTTCAAAATGTAGGCCATATCCCTTTCTTACACGGCTCTTCCTCTGTTCTCTTGCTGGTCACTGATATATTCCTCTTTCGCTTCTCCCCTTTCTTACCTTTCCCATGCTCTTTCTCTCTTTATTCCTCCTTTTTCCCTTCTCCACCTACTTTCATAGTCGTCCTCCTCTCTCTTTTCCACCACCTTTCTTCTCATCCTCGCTCTTCTTCCCCTTCCCCTTCTTCCCTCCCCCTTTTGCACTATCTTCTTTGCCGCTTCCTTCACCTTCCCCCCCTCGTCCTTTTTCCCTCCTCCTTAACTTTTTCTCCTCCTTTTCCCTTTCCTCGATTTCCTCGCCTCCTCCTACCTCCCTTTTCACACCAATGTCGCGGATAACACGCCCCACCGTCTCGCTCGTGACTGTAATTACGTCGTCGTCGGGAGAGGAGTAGGGACACCAAGGAGAAGGAGGAAGAAGAAGGGATACGAGGAGGAGGAATAGAGGACAGGGAGGATCGGGGGAGACGGGCAGGAGAGGAGACACGGGGGGAAGATTTAGACGAGAGGAGGAGAGGAGGTCATAGGGAAAGAGTAAAAGAAGACAAGGACGAAAGGGGATACAAAGGAGAAGGAGGGGAGGGAAACAAAAGGGCCGCGGGATAAGGGGAAGCTAAGGAGGATGAGGAAGAGATGGAATGGGGAGATAAGAGATAGGACGAACGGAGAAACAAGGGGAAGATGAGAAAGACCAAGAATATGAGAGTGAGAAAAGAAGGGGAGCAATGAGGATAGGAGGAGGAGAAAAGTAGAAGGAGAAGACAATGGTGAGAGGAGGAGACGATGGGGAGAGGAAGGACAGGAGGGAGAGGTATGAGAGGAGGAGATACAGGTAAGGTAAAATGTAATAAGAAGGAGGATACTAAGAGGAAGGGAGAGGCAGGGTGAGGAGGAAATACAGAAGGGAGGAACAGGAGCAAGTGAGAACAGGAAAAGAAACAAAATCTAATGAAGCTCCTGCTTGGTGAGAGCAGGAAAGGAGAGATTCCACCATTTACAGGCATCCATATTCCTGCTTAGATTGAAGCTGTCGCGTTCGTGTCCACTTCTTACGACCGTGGGCATTCGGTAAATATTTCAGGTGTTGGTTATCTTTATGTTCCTGTCGGCACAAAATATAGTTTGCCATTGCATGGGAATCTTTTTCTTTGGTGTGTCTGCCTCAGTATTCTATCTGTCTGTCCATCTGCCGTCAGTCTGACAAACATGGGTGTCAGTCTGGCCCCCTATTCTCTCTCTCCTCGTTCTTTCTCTCTCCTCTCTCCTCTCTCTCTCATCTCTCGTCTCGTTCTCTCTCTCTGTCACTCTATCTATCTATCTACATCCTCCTTGCCTCGCCCCCCCTTCTTCCTCTCGACTCCCCCTTGATTCCTCCCTCTCTCCCTCT